ATAACCAGTTATGACAAATGTGTTTTTGTAATTAATATGATTCAGGTAAAATCACATATTTAGACATAATTCAATATGTAGTTAATAAGGCAGCAGGGGAGAAGAACATGGGCTCTGGGATGAAGCAAACCTAATCCTTGTCCTAACTGTTACTACTCCCTCAGTACCAGCTCTTTTACCTGAAACAGGTGAACCATTCTTCTCTGCTTAGATGCTGTGATTTTTTTGCCAGTCCTGGGGCTTGAACTCAGGGCCTGGGCACTGTCCCTGAGCCTCTCTGTGCTCAAGGTTAGCACTCTACCACTTGAGCTACAGCGCCATTTCTGGCCTATTCTGTTTATGTGGTATTGAGGAATCGAACCCAAGACTTCATGCATGCTAGGCAATACTCTGCCACTAAGCCACATTCCTAGTCTGATGCTGTGATACTTTTTTCTTGGTTGTGGGGCTTGAACTCTGGGCCTGGGCACTGTCTCTCAACTCTTCAGCTCAAGGCAATTGCTCTACCAATTGAGCCACAGTGCCACTTCCAATGCTGTGATTCTTTAACTGAAGTTTCAGTCATCATTTTTAAGTATTGTTTCATTTCATGAAAGAATGAAACTCACCAGTGTCTACCAGCTATACTGTTTGTACATCAGTGTGATTTTGCAAGCTCATGTTGTATATTACCTCTTACTTAGAATCAATAAAAGCATTAAGTGTGATTTATTATCATGGCATGTATAAACTTGAATATCAAAAACAGAAGTGGCAGTGCCCAGGCTTTGAATTTGAGTCCCTGTACCACTACAAAAAAAAGTCATTACTATTCTAGAGGCAAAATCCCATTCCTGCAAGACTCAACTGACATTTTGAGCAAACTTACCAAACTCTCAGAAAATCATCACAAAAACTGTTACTTAAAAGTAAGGAAATGTGGAAGTCAAGGGTAAAACAATGATTGCTGGAAGTAGGGGAAGGAGCTAACTGAGAGGTGTTTGTAAGTTAGAAGGAACAGATTCAAGAACTCCTGCCTGAAGAGCCGTGCAATAAAGGGCACGTGCAGCAATGCTGATACTGTATTGTACACTGGAATTTTTACTAAAAGTAGCTCTTATATTTTTGTCAGAAAATAACACAATAAATAATCACAATAAATAAACTTTTGGAAGTCATGAATGTGTACATGGCAAAGATTGTAGAGATGTTTTCATGGGTGAATATCTCCAAGTTCATCAGTTATACACATTAGCAAAATATTATGGTTGCATGTCAATTGTACCTTGATAAAGCAAAAGTGTAAGCCAAGTGCCGGTGACTCACACCTATAATCCTAGCTACTCAGGAGGCTGAGATCTGAGGATCATGGTTCCAACCCAGCTGGGTTAGAAAACTCCATGAGACTTTTATCTCCGCTTAATCACACATACATAAGAAGTTAGAAGTGGCGGAATGCTGGTGGCTTATGCCAGCTTGGGCACAAAAGCATCTATAATATTTGGAGATCTAAATGTTCTTGAGATTTGCTTCTGTTTTAAACTCTCAGCAAAATGACCGTGACATAGAAAGCTGTATTTGCCTGAAGTATGGTGGACACTGTACTGACACTTATTCCCAACTCCCTTGTGTTGCTTTGTTTATTTATTGTTTTTGGTTGGAGAGCAGAACTCAGACTCAGTATCTGATACTTTCACTCATCGGCTAGCATTCTTCCATCTGAGTCACACTTCCAACCCTTCTTTGTTGCATTTTGTTTATGTGCCAATACTGGGTTTAACTCAGGGACTATTGCTTTACATCCAACACACCTCCACTTCAGGCTTTTTGGTGGTTAATTGGAAATAAGAATCTCTTGGATTTGTCTGCCTAAACTGGCTTCAAACTGTGATTCTCAGATCTCAGCTCCTAAGCAGCTGAGCTACCCAGATTCAGCCCCCCTTTTGTTGTGAAAACATATAGAAGAGTTTGGGAAAACTCTTTGTTTGTTTGGGGGTAGATACACCAGTGCATAGGTATCAGCATTTGTTTGGCAATCTACTGAGCCAGTGATTTTGAACCTTGGCTGCAGATGGAATTCCCTGAGAGCTTTGAAACCTTCATTCCCACACCAATTAAATCAGAATCCTGATAGTATGGGCTGGCATCAGTAGTGGTGAAACCTGCCCAGGTGGCTTCAGGGCAGAGCCAGGATGGAGAACTCACACCCTACATGAAAATGCCCATTCATGAAAGCATGTTTACTGCCAAAGCCATCCTTAGATGTGAAATTCCTCTTTCAAGCTGATTTCATGCACTCTTCAGGAATCATCTTCTACTACTTCTCTACCTCTCTTAGCGGACATCAGTGGTTCTCAGCTTGAATTACTTATCATCATCTTAGGACACTTTACAAAACAGTGCTTAGGCCTTGGGTGTTTTCTTTGTCCCTAAAGTCACTAGGTTTAACCAGAGTTGAAAGCCAATATTTTGAATGTCAGGTACCTATCTGGGCATCTGAATGTTAGGGGAAACGTTTAAAACATGTATATTGTTGTTCTGGATAAAGCAATAAAGGAAAATTTGACGTTCTAGAAAAATTGGCTCATGTGTGGCAAGTAATTTTCAGGTTAAACATCATCAATATGGATTCCAATTTTAGAGAAGTCCAAGGACTTTTGACAATAAAGATGATATCAGGCATGTTGGCACACAGTTGTAATTTTAGCTTATTTTGGTGTGTGGTGGTCCTGGGGCTTGACTCAGGGTCTGGGCTAGGCTTTGTCCCTGAACTTCTTTTGCCCAAGAATAGCACTTTCACTCCAATTACAGCTCCACTTCCAGCTTTTTTGGTAGAAATAATCTCTCTCTCTCTCTCTCTCTCTCTCTCTCTCTCTCTCTTTCGCTCTCTCTCTCTCTCTCTCTCTCTCTCTCTCTCATTGTTGATTGTGGGGCTTAAACTATGGGCCTAGGCACTGCCCCTCAGCTTTTTAGCTCAAGGTTAGTGCTCTACCACTTGAGCCACAGCGCCACTTCCAGTTTTTCTGATAGTTCATTGGAGATTAGAGTCTCACAGACTTTCCTGCCCAGGTTGGCTTTGAACCGCAATCCTCAGATCTCAGCCTCCTGAGTAGCTAGGATTATAGGCATGAGCCATCAGCACCCAGCAAGTTATCTCATTTTTATGTCTTCTAATCATTCCCAGAGTGATCATAAAAAGTTAGCTGAGAGGTTCAACCAGTCTTGTTAATCAAAGACAGAGGCATACATTACTTGTCAGATTCTACTATAAAACCTTCCTTTGCCAGATTTTTTTAATTCTATATTAGTTATTTGTGCTACTATGAAAAAATATCACATTAGGCCATTTATAAAACTGTAGAAATTTATTTCTCAGATCCCGAAGGCTGAGAAGTACAGGGTCCAGGTGCCTGTTTAGAGAGGACTGATGTCAAATGTGCCTGCAACATCTGGAGGGGCAGAATGCCAATATCCACACAGAAGGAAAGCCCTTCTATGTGGACATGAATCCCACTTGTGAGTGCTGAGTCCTTATGACTCCATCACCCCTAAAGTCTCCACATCTTCTCACACTTCATAGACAAGCAAGCTTCCACATGAACTAAGGAGGAGGCACGCAAACCATTGAAAGCAAGGCTGGTTTGTATATCAGCCTTGTTGGTACTGGGTCACATTGCTACTAGTATTTTGTTTTATTCTCAGCTATTATCCTTACAGCTTCTTGGTTATAGGTTTTTAGTTTGTATCTTTTGTCCCCAGTCTTGGAACTTAAACTCAGGGCATGAAGGCTGTCTCTGAGCTTTTTTGCTCAAAGCTAGTGCCCTACCAGTTGAGCCACAGCTTTATTTCTGGCATTGGTAGTTATTTGGAGAGAAGAGTTTCACAGATTTTCATGCCTGTGCTGGCTTGGAACCACAACCTTCATATCTCAAGTGTAACTTGTGATTAACATTACTGAGCACTTAAGTTTACAGCAACAATTGTAATCTTTGCAGTGCCTGGGGGCTGTCCCTGAGCCCCTTCTGGCTTTTTCTGAATCACTTTTAAGAACTTTTGCAAACTTTTCTGCCCTGGCAGGCAACTAAAGGAAATCCTCAGATCTTAGCCTTCTGAGTAGCTATCTACAGGCATGAGCCACATGTTGGATTTTGGTTCTTGAATTATTTATTCACTTAAGCAGCATTCACTATGTATCAACCATGCAAATACTCTAATATTTAGCAATATAATCAAAGTTAAGCCAGCATTGTAATATTGTGATGTTTTTCACCCTTTGCCTTTCTCTAAAGCACAAGCACTTCCCTCATGCAGACACAAGCCTCAACTCCGAACCATAAGATAATTTAAGTAGATAAACAAATATGGGATTAGGTAAGAAGGGTAATATACCTTCAAAATACTCAGGGTGAAAATTAAGAGCCAGGCTGGCGGCTAATGGCTAACACCTATAACCCTAACTACTCAGGAGGCTGACACCTGAGGATCATGATTTGAAGCCAGCCTGGGCAGAAAAGTTCATGAGACTTTTATCTCCAATTAACCATCAAAATTATGGAAGTGGAGGATTGGCACCAGCCCTGAGTGAAAAAGCCAAGCATGAGTGTTCAAGCCCCAGTACAAATACAAACACACACATACACACACAGAATCGACCTTGCTTGTGTTTTGTTTGCCTGACATACTACTTGTCCAAGCTGGCCTGATGCATACTTTTCTCCTATGGAGCCAGAGGCAACTGACCGTGGTATTTAGCCACCAAGCATAACAGGAGCCTTTTTTAGAAGTGCATATGGCACCTATTTATCACTCTAAGCTTAAAGAATCGATTCGTTAATTCTTTTTTTAATTAATTTGTGCTTCATTCTAGGAGTTAGTGCTTGCTAATCACAGAACAATATCCAACATGCTCTGGGGTATACATGATTCCTTAGAGCCTAGATAGCCTGAAGGAGTTGGTGCTTCCCAGCAATCATCAGTAGGATTTGGGCCTCTAATGTGAACTTCTTTATCTTCTCCCTTAATGTCACTCCAGAAATGCTTATCTCCTGCTGTTGATGAATAATTTCAAAGTACTATGGATCATGCTGAAGAAAATGAAATCCCTGCAGAAACCCAGAGGTACCATGTGGAAAGGCCCATCTTCAGCCATCCAGTCCTCCAGGAGAGACTCCACACAAAGGACAAAGTCTCAGAATCCATTGGGGACAAGCTGAAGCAGGCATTCATGTATGTTGTGTTTATTATTCCCTATAGGAGAAATGAGGTCCATGTCCATATGTAAAGGAGATGTGTTGGTGACGTGGGGGGAAATGAATGCTGAGCACTCTTGCTGTCCATAATGATGCACTCAGTTTAGACACTGATTGGAAACAGGTTTCATCAGTGCTTACTATGCTCACTGAATTCCCACTATGCCTTACATTGTGTAAAGATTCCTATAAGCTACCCATTGTTCAAAAAGAAGTATACTTTTTATTTGACATATGCAACTGTAACCCACACACACACCATCTTTACAATAGCAATAATAAATGCAAAAAACTTGCCATGTTTTCTAATTCTCCACACACCTCTGACATAACTACCTCAAGAAGGTTTGAGCATGGTTTTGTTTCCAATCTCTGGCCTACACATGTGTAGCAGTAATTTGAATAATCTGTTGTGAAATTTCTCCCTCACTCATAGGTATAGAGAAAAGTAAATGGCTTGGGGTGAATTCCACTCAAAGGTTCCTGATTTCTATTTTTTTCTGTCTTTATCATCTTTATCTTCTCAGATGTACTCCTAAAAAAATAAGAAACATCATCTATATGTTCTTGCCCATTACTAAATGGTTGCCAGCTTACAAATTCAAGGAGTATGTGCTGGGAGACTTGGTCTCAGGGATAAGCACTGGAGTGCTTCAGCTTCCTCAAGGTTAGTAGAATGGATTTCTTCCAGTGTTTCTTTCATTTTAATTCCCTTGCTAACCTAACCCTTAAAACTTAACTCTCGGGGGAATGCCTAAGAAAAAATGGAAGTGTTGTTTCACATATCAACACATCAGTTGGCATCCTCATACCTAAGTGAGCATGTGGACTCTAAGAACTTAAAATACTAGTGTATTCTCTAAACATATGGAGGGTAGTTTGGACATGACTTCAAGGCTAAGGGCTACTGAGCTGGATCTGAGAGCATGAGGAAAGGGGTGATCAGGACTGACACCCCTACCCCAGGTTTCTGTTGCAAACTTCTGAGGGATACAATTACATATATAATGAAGATGGTCAAGACAGAATTGAAAGGTAAATTTAGAGACGTGAAATTCAAGATGTTTCTGATAGAAAGAGAGCAAATTTGGTGTGTCATGCAGATATTGAGTAGATGGTGAACTAAAGAGAGTGATGTGGCCTGGAAAGATCAAGGTGGAAATCTTTGGCATTTATACATCATTGAAACCACGATGGAAGTCCAGGACAACTGGGGATGGATTGTCCAATGATAAGGACGGGAGCTGAATCAGGCTCTGAATAGTATTAAAGCCACGTAGAGAAGAAAGAGCCAGTGAAGGAGACGGAAAAGAAAGGTCTGTTGCTGTGCACTGGTGGCTCACCCTGTAATTCAAGCTACTCAGGCAGCTGAGATCTGATTATTGTGGTTAGAAGCCAGCTTGGGCAAGAAAGTCCATAAGACTCTTATCTCCAATTAACTACCAAACCAGCCAGAAATAGAAATGTGGCTCAAGTGGTAGAGCACTAGCTTTAAGCACATAAAAGCTCAGGGACAGCACCCAGGCTCTGAGTTCAAGCCCCAGAACCAGCACAAAAAAATAAACAAAAAAAATTTTAAAGTATCTGTGAGAAACAAGAAGACCAGGAGCAAATGGAATTATATGAAGGAAGGAATTGTTTCAAAACATGGAAGGTCAGATGCTGCTGACAGAGATCATCTACAATCTAATTTGTTTCAAAGAGGTATCTTTAACATAGTCTATTCATTAGTCAATCACTAATCAATAAAGACAGATACAAATGAAAAACAAAATATAGCAGAGATGGAGAACTAAAGGGCAGTAGTCAAATGTATTGTGATTAATGGTATTAAATTTATGAAAAGATTTTTTGTTAACCATGACAGATTGAAAACATAGTTTTGTCTCTAATTCATTTTAAATCTCTCTAAAATGTCCGTAAAGAAAAGAGAAATTGTATGAATTAGCAATGAGAAAGAGAAAGGAAACAAGATCCAGTAGAGGTGGGGCGGGGGGGAATGATAGAAAGCCCAGCTGGCATGGTGATGCATGCCTGCAATCGCAGCTACTTAGGAAGCAGACCTTGGGAAGATCAATAAATAAGGCCAGACAGAAAAAGTTTAAGGTCCTATTTAAAGAATACCAAAGCAAAAGGGACTAGAGATGTGGCTTAAATGACAGAGCACTAACAACTGCAAGGCATGACTCTAAATCCCAGTACTACAAAGGGAAGGGAAGGGAAGAGAAAGGAAAGGAAGGGGAGGGGAGAGGAAGGGAGGAGGAGGAGGGAAAAAACAAGGACAAGTGACAATTGAGCTATCAGAGGGCAAGAAATTGACATTTACAAACCACTTTGAAGAACACCAGGAACCTAGAGGCTCTAAATTATTGTCAAAGCTGTGTGTCACAAAAATACTTAGGCGCCCACCCTCATACTATGCATGGATTGAGAGAGTGAAGATACCGTGAAAAAGATGGCGCTATCTGGGTTAAGATAAAGTCTGCATGTTCAACTGTAGGCAGACAAAGATTCCTCTCTTGCCCTGCTCAGCTACAAGTGCCTGCAAAGAGATATACCCAGCAGGCTCTGGTAACTCACACCTGTAACCCTAACTTTCAGGAGTCTGAGACCTGGAGGAGTCTAATTTGCAGCTAGCAGGAAAAGTCCACTAGATTTCACCTCCAAAATAGCAAAACTCAGGGCTGGAGCATGGCTAAAGTGTAGAGTGCCAGCCGAGCAAGTACAGAGCCCTGAGTATAAACTCCAGTACCACCAAAACTAAAATTTAACAACAGCCCAAGGCAGATGATGAATTCTTTCCAGATAAAAGATATATCATGAGAACTTGAGGACCCCAAATGAAGAAACTGGCCAGTCACCAAATTGTCTGACAACAAATCCCACCCACAAACAAAGTGAGCCAAGGCATATGAAGCTTCAAGAGAAAGACCAAACCACCTTGAAAGCAGGATCTCACCTGAAACAAAAGATAGCAAGGAAAAATCCTTAGAAACAGAAAATTACATTGAATTCATGAAACAAAAGCAAGAGGATATTGTTTAAATATTATTATAAAGGTAAAGTGCAGAGAGGATATAGTTATACAAGTTAGGTAAAGAGCTTGCCTTCCCTGGCTCTCTCCCAGCTTTTCCCTCCTGGTTCCACCCAAGAAGGTACTTTTGAAAAGAACATCAGAGAATAAGAAAGAACTCATAGGAACTACAAAATGTGATGATCGCAGGAATCATCTTTCATGGTTCCCATGGGTCAGGATTTGGGAAGGTCTCACTGGGCTGAAAAACTGGTCTCCACTGGCAGAAGGGAAATGGCAGGGAGCTCTAGCTTAGCCCAGCCTCTTGCAGGCACAGGGGCACATTGGGATTGGAATAGAAGGTCAGGCAGCTAAGACACATTGCCTGATATTAATTACAATGGATTTCACCTGATCATTGGAGAGAGCAAACCAAGAAGACAAGACATATGCCCTTGTCCGTCTGTTTTCTAATGGTCTCTCCCCTATGCTTTTGAATCCACAGGCTTGGCCTTCGCAATGCTTGCAGCTGTGCCTCCCATATTCGGCCTCTATTCTTCGTTTTATCCTGTTATCATGTATTGTTTTCTTGGAACCTCCAGACACATATCCATAGGTAAATTATTATGCTTGATATTCTAACACATTTCCTTTTCTATTTCCAAGTTTTACAATGTGCCAAAGAAGTAGTTGTTTTCAAAGCATCTGTTTATTTATAACTTCTTTATAACTTATTCTATATATAATGGGGGTTTGAAAACATAACTCCTCTCAGCTGAGGATGTAGATCAGTGATGGTGCTTGCTAGACATGTATGAGGCCCTGGGTACTATGCCTAGCTCTTGGAAGAAAATACACATACATATATATCACACACACACACAACAACAACAACAAGATTTCTAAAATGAGTAGCTTTCTTACAATTCTTAGAACAAGGACAATTTTCTTAGGTACATTGCATTTATTGAGACCTATCAAACGAGATACATGCTTTATTTCCTAATATGATTTGCTTGTGTTTGCTTTTCCCTCTTATGTATTTTAATAATGTTACTTTATGTTCTTGATTACTATGGACATGTATCATTTTGCACCATATTTTAGACTCTAAATTATACATATTTTCTTTTTCGATATTTGGGATCAGATTCAAATGAATTTCATAGGAGTATCAATGTTTTATAAGCCCAGGGAACAGTCATACAATGTTTTAAATGTATGTTGCTAGGTAACAAATGCTCCTACACAAAATTTGACAGCATATATTATATCCTTTATAAAAATATGATTAACTGGTGGTGGTGTTTGGTTTTGCTTTGGGTTTTTTTTTCTTTTTTTACGAGTTGTGAGTAAAGGGAGATGTAGGAAGGGAGGGAGACATTCAGTATACACTACATGGAAAATGAACTGTTTAACCAGAGGGCATAGAAAGGAGGGAGAAACTGGAGAAAAGTGAAAAGGGATGACATCCACAAACAAAATGTGCTTATTACCTGACTTGTGAAATGGTAGCCTCTTAATAACAATAAAGAGCTGGGCACTGTTGGCTCACACCTATAACCCTAGCTCCTCAGGAGGCTGGAATCTGAGGATCACAGCTCAAAGCCAGTCCAGGCAGAAGAGTCCCCATAAGACTCTTATCTCCAATTAACCACTCAAAAACTGGAAGTGGCGCTATGGCTCAGGTAGTAGAATGCTTGCCTTGAGCACAGTGAGGCTCAGGGACAGGGTCTAGGCCCTGAGTTCAACCCTACAACTATAAAGTTATATATTTTAGTACACGTTTAAAATTTTTAAATAAATTGGATCTGGGGATGTAGCTCAGAACAGTTGCCTGCCTACAAGTCTAAGGCCCTGAACTGAATCCCAGCATCACACATGCACACATACATACATACATATATACATACATGCAAAACATATCATCTCGTCTCTCAGTGCCTACACATCGGGTCTTGGGAGGGTTCATCTGGGCAGGTCTTCCCTCTCTCCCTCCCTTTCTTCTCCCTCTTCTTCCAAGCGCTCCCAGGAACTTCCTTGCACATAGTGGCCAGGTTTCAGCATCAGTTTAACAGCTCTTGGTTAGAAGCCCCATCCCTTTGCATGATCTAGCCTCAGAAGTCACATGGTCACTGTTGAGCTATTCTTTCAGTTGCTAACAAATCACAAATCCACTCAGATGCAAGGACAGAACTAGAGTCTAGCTCTTAGATGGGGAAATGCCCTGGTCCTGAGAGCATGTGTGTGAGATAAGACGTTGTGGTTGGTTTTAGAAAATACAGTATGCACATACACACACCAATGTCAGGACACTCAAGGAGGGCAGTGCAGTTTTAAGGATTAGCACTGGACACCCCCCTCTCTCTCCTATCTCTCTCTCTCTCTCTCTCTCTCTCTCTCTCTCTCTCTCTCTCTCTCAGCTCCAGCCACATTTTTTTTTAATTTTCCAAAATTTATTTTCAAATTTTGCAAACATAAAAAATGTTGAATTTAACTTTGTATCTGGCCAACTTACCACCTAGATTCTGTCGTTTTATTTTATTTTTTAAATTTTTTTTAATTTAATTTTATTTTTTTGTGAACATACTGTACAGAGGGGTTACAATTACATGGGTTATTTTTTAAATTTTTATAGTAAAGATACTATACAGAGGGGTTACATTTACATGAGTAAGGTAATGAGTTCATTTCCTATGGAGCATTGTTACCCCTCCTTTGTTTTTCCCTTATATCCCTTCTCTCCCCACCTCCCCAACTCCTCCCTCCCCTCCCCCTGAAATTGTAAAGTTCATTTACAACATAGTGTCTTGGATGTCTCATTGTTATAATGGGTTGAGCTGTATCCTTGTTTCATTATTTTGTTATTTTCCTTCCGTTCCCCAAATTAGAAAAATGTAGATACAAGATGCAGAGAACTAGAATCAAATACAGTGACAACAGGGGTTATACCATGGGGGAAGAACATACAAAAGAAACAAAAAAAAATCACATAGTACATTAAAAACAACAGCAACAAAGAAAAAAACCTCTGCGTCCTATCTTGGGGTTCATTTCACTTAGCATCATCTTATATGGTCATAGGTACATAGCTTTTGACCTTTTCTGCTTGTCTATGGACCTGTGTTTCTTACTGCATTTCTTACACCCTGGCCACTACAACATGAGGTGCATTGGAAACAATTTCCCTGAACCCCTGAACAGGAGTCATCCCATTAGTTGAGCTTCCTTGAGTCCCTGAACAAGAGTCATTAACACTTCATCATTTCAGGTCCTTTTGCTGTTATTAGCTTGATGATTGGTGGTGTGGCTGTTCGATTAGTACCTGATGACATAGTCATTCCAGGAGGAGTAAATACCACCAATGGTACAGAAGCCAGAGATGCCCTGAGGGTCAAAGTTGCCATGTCTGTGACCTTGCTTTCGGGAATAATTCAGGTAAGGCTTGAAGATGGGGAAATGGGTTCCGGTTTGTGGTAATACTAAATATCTAATCAACAATCTGAGCTAGTCTTAGTACAAGGTGGTCAGTGTCAGCCAGCAAATTCTTGAGCTCAAGGTTTATATCATTCAGGGATGCCAGCCCAACTGCAGGCTTTATTTACAACTGGGAGTGTCCAACAAGTCTAGATTAGGCACTTTAGAGATCCCGAGAGCAAGACAAGTTTGAAATAGCAGCATTGTTAGTTCTGGAAAAGGGACATCCCCTGTCTGCTGGGGGAGGAATAGCCAGTGATCATGCCCGGTGGCTGACATGACCAAGTATGATCCTGATTCCATGGGACCCAGAGAGTAAGGACGCCTCGGGGGCTCTAGCCAGTGCAGACTTCCTATTATTTCCAGTCATTGACTTACTAGCTTTGAGCTGTTGCAGGTTCAATTTTGCAGTGGTAGAATATGGTCCACAAAGACCTTTGATATGTTTTCAGTTGGCCATAACTTCCTAACCTATCATGTTATTTGTTTTATTTCTTTGTCGTTAAAAAAAAAAAACAAACCAGTTCTGTCTAGGTGTCTGTAGATTTGGATTCGTGGCCATTTACCTCACAGAGCCTCTGGTCCGTGGATTCACCACTGCAGCGGCTGTACATGTCTTCACCTCCATGTTAAAATACCTGTTCGGGGTTAAAACAAAGCGGTACAGTGGGATCTTTTCAGTGGTGTATGTAAGTAAGCAAATCCTGACCTCTCAGGACTAACTTTTCCTTCTTTATTCCCCCGCCACACACCTCCTGTGTATCCTTTTCATCTCCATGGCTCATTTTACTTTGTTCTAAGAATTTACAGAAAAGGAAATGCCATAGAAAAGAGTTGTTCATCGTAAGGATTTCCAAGAAGAGAGCCATAAGGATTAAACTCTAAAATCCCATGTTATTGATTTATGATTCTTCCTGCTTCATAAGGAATTTTTTGTTAGGTGATACAATTTGGTGGCACAATTATCTAACTAGGTAAAGGGATAGTTTTTTTCTTAAGACTACATGATGTGTTTTTTGGACACAGGTAAATAATTACAATATAGTGGAAATACAGACCTCTTTGAAAAACTGCTCGAACAAAAATAATAATAAAGCTATAAAGATTTAATTAACACAAAAATCAGCTTGATATAATAAAATATACATACATCCTATATGTAACTGAGGGAAGATATAAATTATTTGCAAGCACAGTGAAAATAATGATAATACCTGATCAGGTTGAAATTGATTATATGAAACTAATTAAAATCTAAAATTCAGTATTTTTATGCAGTGTAAAATAACCAGAAATCAATAGCTAAATATAGTTTGAAAAGTCCTGTACAGGGCTGGGAAGGTGGCTCAGTGGTAGAGCGCTTGCCTTGCATGCCTGAGGCCCTGGGTTCAATTCCTCAGCACTACATAAGCAAAAAGAAAAAAAGCCCGAAGTGGCGCTGTGGCTCAAGTGGTAGAGCGCTAGCCTTGAGCTGAAGAGCTAAGAGACAGCGCCCAGGCCCAGAGTTCAGGCCCCACAACCAGACCCAAAAAAAAAAAAAAAGTCCTGTACACTTAGAAGCATCTTCCCCCAAAAAAAGAAATAGAAAACACATTTCTCCTTCCTTCCTTTTCCTTCCCTTCCCTTCCTTCCTTCCTTCTTTCCTTCCTTCCTTCCTTCCTATTTTTTTGTGCCAGTCCTGGGGCTTGCACTCAAGGCCTGGGTGCAGTCACTGAGTTTTTTGCTCAAGGGTAGTACTCTACCAATTGAGAAATAGCCTCACTTTTGGCTTTTTTTTTTTAGTAGTTAATTGGAGATAAGAATCTTGTGGAGGGACTGGGAAGGTGGCTCAGTGATAGAGCACATGCCTTGAATGCATGAGGCCCTGGGTTCAATTCCCCAGCACCACATAAGCAAAAAGAAAAAAAGCCGGAAGTGGCATTGTGGCTCAAGTGGTAGAGCGCTAGCCTTGAGTTGAATTGCTGAGGGACAGCACCCAGGCCCAGAGTTCAGGCCCCAAGACTGGACCCCCCCCCCAAAGAAAAAGAATCTTGTGGACTTTCCTGGCCAGGGTTGGCTTTGAACTGCAGTCTCAGATCCCTCAGATCTCAGCCTCCTGAATAGCTAGAATTGTAGCTATGAACCATCAGTGCCCAACTCAGAAAATGCATCTCTAAATGCCACGCAGATAGATATGAAACTAGGAAATGCCTAGAACCAGTTGACAGTTAAATAACCCATACCAAAACTTGAGAGATGCTGCTAGCTATTACAGATATTTATTTGCCAGATTCTATTAAGCACTAGGACACAGCTGGTACAGTAGACACTGCCCAGTAGGAAGATAGCTGCTGATAAATCACAAATCACATAAATATGAAGTTAGTGACAAATTACACTTTAAGCTTCTAAGAAAATCTCATTGAGGAAGTTAAGGTTGAAATTTAACTCCTTGATTGGTTAACATGAAATCAGGCTACAAGGGTATTCCCTAAATAGTTGGTTTTCCTGAACAAATGTAGCAGTGGTACTCACTAGACATTATATTGAAAATGAATTATATAACTTGTGGGTGGGAAGGGAGGGAAAACAGAGAGAACGAGAGAGAGAGAGAGAGAGAGAGAGAATATGAGAAGGAATTACATTGCCCAAAAAGAAATGTATCTTTACCTGATTTATGTGACTGTATATCACCTTTATAATAAAAACTTTAAAATTGAAAAAATGGTTTTCCATAATAGCTAAACATGTACTTTTTTAGCCTGAGACCTCTCAAAATGCCTTGTCCCAAGAAGATGCAATATCCAAGTATCCCCAGGGATGCTGAGGACATCTACAGGAAAGGATGCTGGGCTTGGGTTGGAGGGAGTCTACTTACTATTCAATGAGAATGACTGTATCTGGAAATCCCAGACAGTGACTTCAGCATCTTACCACAGACGCTTCTCTAACTCTCCTGTCTTTCTTCCCCAGTGTCACTCTCTGTACTTCAAAGACCACATGATTTCTTTTTCACCTGTGAACAATAATTTCTCCAGTTTTGAGCTCCTGAAAGTTTTCTGACTGTTTAACTTCAGCATTACTTTGCTGATGTCAATCCTTAATTATTTTCTCAGTATTTAAAGCTAAAGATTAGTGTGTGTGTGTGTGTGTGTGTGTGTGTGTGTGTGTGTGTGTAATGTGTATGTGTGTGTGTATACGTGCCAGTATTGGGGCTTGAACTCAGGGACTGGGCACTATCCCTAAGCTTTTTCACTCAAGACTAGATCATTGACCACTAGAGCCAAGCTCTACTTCTATCTTGTTGATGGTTAACTAGAAATAAGAGTCACAACAACCTTTCCTGCCCAGACTGGCCTTGTGCTGGGACCCTCCTAAGTATATAGGATTAAAGGGGTAGGCTACGAGTGCCCAGTTAGCTCAATGTTATGTTTTCTGAATTTTATAGTAACAATGTCAAGATAGCAGCATGTCAAAAATAAAAATGTAAGATTATTGAATATGAATTATAATCACAAAATCGTATAACAAAGTAAAAATGTCTTCTAATTGGCATAAACCACAAAGAAATATCAGCCTATGGACTTCTCTTTTTTCTCTTCATTTATGCTAGGTATTGAACCCAGGGTCTTGCAAGTACTAAGTATGACCTTCTATCATGGATCATACTCCCATTCTCCTTCCCTTTCCCCTCCTGCCCCGCCTCAGAGTGAGCTCACCTGAATTGTGTGAAGATATTTTATTGTGGCAAAATCCACTAACAAAATGAACCGCTTTAAGTGTGCAATTCAGTGGACTCAGTTATTTTCAGCGGTGTATAATCATAACACCCTCCTTGTCCAGTCCCTCTCATCCTAAACAGGAGCTCCACACCCATAAACAGGTGCTCCCCACCACCTTCTGCCCAACCCTGATGACCACTAGCCCTTGACCTCTGTGATCATGAATTGCCTGATCTAGGTACTCCCTGTGAACTAAGTCATGCAATCGGAGGCCATTTCTTGATATAAACGTCCAGTGTTCCCTGTGTGTTGCAGAGTACAGTTGCTGTGTTGCAGAATATTAAAAACCTCAACGTGTGTTCCCTAGGCGTCGGCCTGATGGTTTTTGGTTTGCTCTTGGGTGGCAAGGAGTTTAATGAGAGATTTAAAGAGAAACTGCCAGCACCCATTCCTTTAGAGTTCTTTGCGGTAAGTCCTCACAGGCTGGTGGTCCTGTGCAGCTCCCACAACCCCATGCGCCTGGCTTCATGAGGGATTCTGACATGGAAGACATGGAGAATCACCACAAGGTCTAATTTGCTGCTTCCAAGAGAACTAAAGCAGCTAAAAAGAAAAATTCAAAAAATTAAAACATACATATGGATTACTTTTAAAAGATAAATGAAGCAGGCACCAATGGCTCATGCCTTTGATACTAACTTCTCAAGAGGCTGACCTTCAAGCATTGCACTTGGAAGCCAGCTAAGGCAAGAAAGTCCATGAACTCTTATCTCCAATTAACCAGCAAAAAGCTGGGGCTGGGGCTCATGTGGTAGAGCCTTAGCCTTCAGCAAAAATCTCAGGACATCACCCAGCCTCTGAGTTCAAGCCCCCTGTATCAGCAAAAAAAAAAAAAAAGATAGTTGAAGACTACTATATGTTCACATTTTTAATGTGTCCCCAAGAATGATGGAATTTAGAGTATTTATTTTCATCAAATTTTTATCTAATTCTTTTATGAAGAGCACATACTACTTTGATAACAAAAATTAAAGAGGGTAGAGATGTGGCTCATCAGGATCAAACCAGTTTACTAAGGGCAAGGCCCCGAGTTCAAACCCTAATAGTGACAAAAGATAGAAAGAATAAAAGATAAAAGGTCTCAATCTTTCTCATTTCCATGCCATTTTCAAGCCAAACTAAATACCTGAGCATTCCATTTAATAAGTAGTACAAGCCGGGCGCTGGTGGCTCACGCCTGTAATCCTAGCTATTCAGGAGGCTGAGATCTGAGGATCATGGTTCAAAGCCAGCCCAGGCAGGAGGGCAGGAAAGTCTGTGAGACTCTTATCTCCATTAAACCACTAGAAAACCGGAAGTGGCGCTGTGGCTCAAGCGGTAGAGCGCTCACCTTGAGCTGAAGAGCACAAGGACAGTGCCCAAGCCCAGAGTTCAAGCCCCACGACCAAAAAAATTTTTTAAACGTAGTACAACCAAACATTAATATATATTTATGACCAACAGTACTTTCAGTAAATAAATAAATTTCATTTGTACATAAAATGATTACAATATTTTACTAAAAGTTAATATTAGTTTTCAGTAATCACAATTATTTATTCATGTGTACACCTGGTGGGCACTGTCCAAATCCTCAGCCTTGGGATCAGAGTGGACACTATTCCCTTACCTCCTGGTCACATGGGTAGTTTAAATTACCTGCTTCAGCAAAACACGAGTCATCTATGAACCGATGCTCAAACCCTGACCTACTTCTAACTACAAGTGTGAATCCTTTAAAATTCAAAATGCCCAGTAAAATCCTTTTGGCATCTGAGGCTCTGAAGTGCATAATATGGGTGCTATAAAGGTAAAAATCAAAAGCTCTACTTGTTGCCCAACCCTGATAGCACATTTCTGTAGTCTCAGGTCTGTGGAGACTGAGACAGGATTGTGAGTTCAGGGCCAACCTGGGTTACATGGTAAATAGCTTTTTCAAAAAAACAAAACTAAACCAATAGTTGTCTGGTCCAAATTTAGCCAGACTGAAAAACAAGGTTTGAGATATGAAAACAAATGGTTGGTATAGAGCACAAAGACAAAAAAAAAGTCCTGCCACCTCTCAGACAGCTGTAGGAGGCTGGGAAAAGCCTCGGACTCTATTGGTGCCACTGGCCTAGAAAAAGAGGCGCCAGGAGGATCTGCATTCTATTGTCCATCATGATGATGGGCAATTTTGTATCATCATCATAACCCAAAGGTGAACCCCAAAGAGGTTTCAGGGTCACCTTGCCACACATCTCAACAGGAAGAGAATAAATGGAAAAGGAAGCAACTCCAGAACTCCAGGAAAGCAGACAGCCCCTTGTAGTTATGTGAGGTAGTCAGTGAGAGAAGTTAGAATTACTGAAAGCTAACAGTATCGTAAGTCTGAATGTTTGTGATATTCATTGAGAAATAATTTGGCTTGGCTAGCAAACTCTTTGAAGATGATTTTTGTGACATTTGAATATTCCTGTCTAAAGCTGTATTTCAATTTGTGTCTGTTTTAGGTGGTCATGGGCACTGGCATTTCAGCTGGATTTAACTTGCAAGAATCATACAATGTGGATGTTGTTGGAACCCTTCCTCTAGGGTAGGAAATTGTTTATCTGAAGTAACAGTCCATGGGTCTGCTGTTTCTACCTCCATAATAGCATTCTTAGGATGAAAAATGATTGCTTTCCCAGCTGTCAAATAATTGAGGAGTCCCGGGGCTGGAGGCACACATGGTGTGTGAATGTTCATGTGTGTGTGTATGTTTATTGTGCTTTTAAAGAAGCACTGCACGAAGTTTACCATCTTAACCAATTTTAAGTATACGCTCCAGCAGGATTAAGTACATTCAATGTGTAAAACAAATCTTGGACTTTTTAACTTGCAAATGTGAAACTGTGCACCATTAAACAACTCCCTCATTCACCATCCCTCTGTCCCTAATAACCACTGTTCTTTTCTGTTTCTATTAATTTTGACTACTTTTGGTGTTTTATCAGTTGAACCATATAGAATTTCATGACTAACTTGTTTCACTTCACATAGTATCCTCAAGATTTTGTGCATGCCACAGAGTATGACAATGTTTTCTTTCCTTTTAAAAGCAGAGTAATATCCCATTGTGTGTATAGACTGTATTTTGTTTCTCCATTCATCCATATATAGTTATGTGGAAACAACCCACATAACTATAAACATATAGATAGATAGATAGATAGATAGATAGATAGATAGATAGATAGATAGATAGATAGATAGATAGATATAAAATGCTGTTCTTGGCATGGTCTTCAAGACTCAGCTTTTGATTCTATACACCCAACATAGAATTACTGGATGATATAGACTTCTGAATTGAAAGGGTTTACCATCTCCACCCCCCACCCCCACCCCTAAGAATCCCCATATTAGTTTCCATAACAGTGGCACCATTTTAGAATCCTACTGAAAGTGGGAAATATTTTTTTATTGTGTTGGTTTGTTTTCTTATGCTTTCCTTAACAGTTTTTTTTTTATCACTCCTTGAATGACCCAGTAATGAAGAAAAAAATACCTAAATCCCAGCCTATCTTTGTTAGTGTGGCTTTGGGCAGGTCACTTACTCTGTTTGTTTGTTTGTTTGTTGCCAGTTGTGGGGCCAGAACTCTTGGCCTGGGTGCTATCCCTCAGCTCTTCAGCTCAAGGCTAGCGCTCTACCACTTGAGCCACAGTGTCCCTTCCGGCTTTTTCTGCTTATGTGGTGCTGAGGAATCGAACCCAGGGCCTCATGCACGCAAGGCAAGCTCTCTACCACAGAGCCACCTTGCCAGCCCAGGTCACTTACTTTTGCAAAGTTTCAGCTTCCTCGCCTGCCAGGTGGGTGCAGTAGCATGCACTCACCCCCAGGGCATCTGTGAGAGAGCACGGGAGGCAGGGGCTTAGAGCAGGTGCTGCTGCACTCCCAGCATATGTCCCAGGCAGGCTGGCCGAAGCTTCAGGGGCTTATTATTCTAGCAGACTTTCTATTTTAGGGCTTACTTATTTTCTTGACCTATACTGCCTAACTCCACATTTTTAAAACATTATGCTTGAAGGGGCATGAGTGGTCACCACCTTCTGATCCCCGCTGCTCCTCTCTTTTTCTCTGCATCTCTCAGCTTGTCTCTGGCTTTCTGTCCCCTTTACCCTTTCCAGCTCTTTCCCTCATCAGCCTCTTCTCTCTGACAAAAGAACAGTCAGACTTCTGCCAAACAGAACCCTCAGATCCATCCTAGAGTGTCTTGGGAAGCCGAGGAAGCAGAGCATGCTCTCTGACAGCTGGAGGCTGCCTGGTTGTCAGTGTTCTGTGGTAGAGTTCAGCCATGGAGCCATGTCAAGGGAAGAAACTTGTACTCTATCTATAAACTTCAAAACAAAACGTCAGTTCCATAGATATGTTACTTAGAAGGACTCAATGTTAAGCTATAGCATAGCAATTACATTTTTATTTTTATTTCAATGGACGTAAAAAGTTCTGAAATGTACTTTTTAGCATTTGAACTAGCAAGCCTCAGGCTTGCTAGTGTCACACATTCTACCACTTAAGCCATACCTCCAGTCCTGTTTGGTCTAGTTATTATCTTTTTTTCTTTTTTTTTTATTGTGAGAATACCGTACAGAGGAGTTACAATTACATGGGCAAGATAACGAATACATTTCTTATCAAGCATTGTAGCCTCCTCGTTGTTTCCCCTTCCCATCCCTTCCCATACTCCTCCCCTCCCCCCTGGTCTGGTTATTTTCAAGATAGAGTCTCTCTTTATGCTCAGGCTAACCTTTCCAGGCCAGCCTGGAGTGTGATCCCCCTATTTTTGGCAATGGAATGCAGGACATGCACTACCATATCTAGCCATTTTGCTTCCCCTGTAGCTCGGGGTGCACTACCATCTCTACCTGTTGGTCAAGATGGAATCTCACAAAATTTTCTCAAACATTGATTCCCCATTCTGCCTCTAAAGTAGCTAGGATTACAGGTTTGAATCAGCACACCCAGCTTGATAAACCAGTTTTATATCTATCATCTCAGTTGATGTTTATATTCTATTATATATTCTGTATATAATAAACTTTTTACAAGAAAGTGTATTTTTATATTCAACATATGTTAATTCAATGCTTTTTTCTTCTTCTTTATTGAGATTAAGTGATTACAGATTCCATAAATTTCACAAAATTCACAGTATTGTGGGATAGGTACTTAAAGTCACAAACGTATTTTAACCTTCATGAGGCACATTGTCATTATGATGGTCTATAAAGCTTATGGACTCTACAAACTTTGACACTACAGCTATTTTTTCCAAATCAGGTGATATGTACATTTTTTCCTTTTGCTTAGTGCCAGCTATTCCCTCTTTCTCTATCATTCCCTCTCCCATCACTGCCCTTGAGCTGCTTAGTTCACTTTCATCCATGTCCACTGCCACTGGTGGGCCCCTCTGTTGTATTTTTCCGGTTTCCCTCTGATTCTGTGCCCACCTCCTAGCTTCCTTCAGATGTGCACATGTATATACCATATGTGAGGTCAAGAACATGGAGTCACCTAGAAAGGATACGACAAATTAAGAATAGGCCCTTTGTTTCTTGAGTCCTGTGTACTTTGTCATATCTTCTTGCATTTTGAATTTAATATCTGCATATCAGGGAGACCATGTGCTGTTTGTCTCTCTGATCTTGGCTTACCTTTCTCAACATGATTTGCTCTAGTTCCATCCATTTCCCTTCAAATGCCATTATTTTGTCCTTCCTAATGGCTGCATAATATTCCATTGAATATAGGTTCTACAATTTTTTGATCCATTCATTTGTAGTGGGGCATCTGGGTTGTTTCCATATCCTGGCTATTGTGAATAGTTCAGCAATGAACATGGTGGTGCATGTGTCCTTGTATCCTGGTTCTGTTGGTCAGGGTAGATGCCTAGGAGTGGTATGGCTGAGTCATAGGAAAGGTTAATATTTCGCTTTCTAAGGAATCTCCAGACTGCTTTCCAGAGTGGTTGTATTCGTTTACATTCCCACCAGCAGTGCAGTAGGGTTCCTCTTTCTCTGTATCCCTACCAACATTTGTCGTCGGCTGAATTTAGGATATAGGCCATTCTGACTGCAGGGTAAGGTGGTGTCTCAGGGTTATTTTTATTTGCATTTCCTTTACAGACAGGGATAATGAACATTTTCTCATGTGTTTCTTTGCATTTTTATCTCTTCTGAGAAGTCTCTCTTTACTTCCCTTGCCCATTTAATGATTTAGGAGGAATTAGTTTCTTGAGTTCCCTGTATATAATGGATATTAGGCCTTTGTTTGATATATAGCTGGTAAATATCTTTTCCCAGTTAGTTGGCTGCCTTTCTAATTTGGAAGCTATGTCTTTACCTGTGCAGAAACTTTTTATTTTAAGGTAGTCCCATTTATCAGGTCTCTCCAATTTCTTGTGACCCTGGAACTCTGTTCAGGAAGTTCCTGCCTGTGCTTATACATTCTAGTGTCTCTCCTATTCTGTCCTGCCGTCGTTTCAAAGTTTCGGGTTTGATGTTAAGGCCTTTAATCCATTTTGAGTTGATAGTAATGCATGGTGACACGATGGGGTCCAGAGACTCCACAGTTAAAAACAAAAAACAGACACACAGGCCAAAAGTCCTTGCATTTTTGAAGCTGACAGTCTACTGGACACAGCTCGTCATGCAATTAACACACAAATAGTGAGAAATGCTCTGAAAACGACCTACACTGCCTGACTCCACATTTTTAACATTTGTTATTCTCTCTCTGTTTGAAGGAGCATGAGTAGTCACCACCTCTGATCCTCTGTCTCTGTCTCTGTCTCTCTCTGTGTCTCTGTCTCTGTCTTTCTGCCTCTCTGTCTCTCTCTGTCTCTGTCTCTCTGTCTCTGTCTCTCTGTCTCTGTCTTTCTCTCGCTCTCACTCTCACTCTCTCTCTCTCTCTCTCTCTCTTGATCTATCTCTGGACCAAGTAGGAGGCCGCCGCAGGGCTGGGGTTGCTGCTGCAGGTTGGGTAGAGGGGAAGGTGATATTCGAGACACATATATGGGCCTCAGCACCTCATGGGTGAGACCCAGTCTGGACCCAGAACTTGGTCCTCTGACAGCCTATGCGTACGCTCTTTCCATTACCTCACCCCTGCCTCTCTAGCCCACTCCTGTGATAAACATTAGTCACTGATGAGATACACTAGATAATCCTATTTCGTTTCTGCTCACAAATACTTTGATTAAATAAAAATCTTTCATGTGAGTTTCTCCTTTAAAAAATATGCTGATGTGTTAAAATTCAGGCACCATAATTGATTCTTAATACCTTCATTTCCCTTTGCCTTGTGTCAGCTATGTTGCTTTCCTTCTATATGTGATAGCTAAACTTAAATAAATAAAGAAGATTTTACCTTTCTGAAACTTGGCTACCCAGAAACCTTATCTTTCTGGGACTTTGCCCAAAACTAGTAAGTAACAAATAGCTTACCTTTCTAAGTAAATACAATCATACTATTGCTCTTACCTGAGAGTCTTACTGCTATGCCACATAACCCCAAACAGCAAGCATTCAGTTACTCATAACTTTACAGTCTTGGTTGGGCGCAGTCAGGATGCTGGTCTCCCTTGGGTCCCTCCTGCAGATCGGTCATGGGAAGGTATAACTCTTGTTGAATGACCTAAGAGATGGTCAGTCACATACATCTGTGTCACACAGGCTAAAAGTCCTTGCGTTTGTGGAGCTTATAGTCTACAAGCCTGAGTGACGGTGACAGCGAGGAGCTGCCTGGTTATCACATTTCCCCCAGGGTCCACAGCATGGAAGCCACATTGCTTTACAGGGTATCTTGTGTGACAAGAAAGAAGAACAGGGAAATTGCTACACCTTTTCAGATGAACTTCTTTGCACCATTCTCTGTTGTTCCAAACATATTCAAGGGCCAGCCCTAATTCAGCAAGTGGGGGAGACAGATTCCTCATCTCCAAGGGAGAAACCATGTTCCCATGCAAGCATGAGAGGAATGGTATTGACTGGGTTTGAAGGCAAACAATCACCCTCATCTATACACACTCATAAATGCTCACACACCACAGGGCCAGAAAGTGACAACTGACTTTTTTTTTACCTCATTCCAAAAGTAGTCATTTTTCATATTATTTCCCAGGCCAGAACCCACCACAAGGCCATCCCTATTGGTTAATACTTATGCAACAAAGTGCAGGGAAAGACAAATCATTTTATACTCGGGCACCCTGGTTTTGACTTTCTGTTCTATCTTGGGAAAATCACTGAAGATCTGAAAACACCTGTTTTCCCCTAGAAGTTGGGATGCCTGGCATGTATCTTATAGGATGGTTGTGGAGAAAAGTGAGATGGATTTTATGAAGCATATAGTATGTCATACAAAGGTAATAGAAGCCCCTCACTGCCCTCCCTTTCCTCACTCCAGAACTTGCAACATCTTTTACGCCACCATGCTGTGATGTGGTAAGAGAAGCAGGTGTAGACCAGCACCCTTGTCATAGTGTTATTGGATTTAGAAGATGAACTGATTGCCTGGGGACAACTTGCTTCACCTCACTAGGTCTTGTTTTCCACAGCTGCAAGATACTGATTATAATGGTGTCTCGTTGACAAGGCTATAGGAAATAATAAAATAAACACAGAGTCTGTCACATAGGAAGCACCTAATAGCTAGCTTCTGAATCTATAAAGTGATTATTGTTACTATTATTTAGTCCATTGCCTTGCTCTGGAGCAGGCTGAAGGGGAATCAAAGGAGGAGGCTACAATGCTTGATAAGAAATGTATTCATTATCTTGCCCATGTAATTGTAACCCTTCTGTACAGTATGTTCACAATAAAAAATAAATAAAAATTTTAAAAAATCCCCTATGGCACCTTCCCTTCTAACAGTCCAGGGAACCCTTTCAGGTTGGGATGCTTTAGGAAAAGTATCCCAAACCCTAAGAATGAACAAAACTTGGGTTGCCTTCTACAGGGCTCTAAGAGTTGCACTTTGGGCTTCTCTACGTTGCAAGTGAGACTCAAGGAGTCTAATCTTCTGCTTCTTATTTCCCATGGTAGAGAGCAATTGAAGGGACAATGGCATAGGAAGAGTTAATAGATTCAGAGTCCTTACCTCCAATAGCAAGAGAGAAGAGTGAGTAATGTTACCAGGACAGAGTTCTCCTCTAAGTTACCCTGTCCTACACCCTCCCCACTCCTAGACTGGTTCAGATGTCTTGTGGTATCTGAGCACTTCACTGACCCTCTCCTCTTCCTGCTTCTGTATCTTACTTACACCTCTCATCAGGGTGCCATGAGGTGTGAGATTACTCTGCTTATAAATAACCCGGCATCTGATCTCTGCTGATAACCCATCCTAGGAGAAGTTGGCCTTCTCTAGTGTGGACCTAGGAAAAACCTCTCTCTGTTTCAGGGTAGGGGGTTGGGGAGGGATGAGGGGGGAAGGGGCTCTTTTATGCCAAACCAGACTAAACAGTACCCAAGCATTTCTCACCTCATTTGCACAAAATGCCCCTCTCATGCTCTACTCTGGTCTTTGCTTTCTGTCCCCATGGTCACAACACTTGAACTAAAGTCAGATTAACTTTTCAGGCTACTCCCTCCAGCCAACCCTGACACCAGCCTCTTCCACCTCGTGTATGTGGATGCAATTGCCATAGCCATCGTTGGATTTTCAGTGACCATCTCAATGGCCAAGACCTTGGCAAATAAACATGGCTACCAGGTTGATGGTAATCAGGTAAAAACCAGCTACACTTTTGTCATACAGTGGTGTCATACTTCTACAATTACCATGTTCTGGTATTGAGGACAAATGAACTAGATTTCTCTGTCTTGATAGAAAACCCTTTGTTTGAGTAATGAAGATATTTAAAGCATACATTTATTCCAAAGTGTAACTTGTGTTACTTATGAGCAGCAGGTAATTAAGCTCTGAGGAGTGGAGTCTTCCTCCCTTCCTCACTTCAGGAAAAGGAGTTCACCTAGCACAGTGAAGTTTGGGATATGAAGTATATAGCTGCCATATTCCTACAGATGGTTTCCTTAAGTTTAGATAGGACATGGTAGACTCCACAGCCTGAGAGTCAAATATCTCTCCAGAATCATTTTTGCTCATCAGGAAGACCTAGGTCTGTTTATTAAACCTTGACTCTGTGATTCATCACCCAAATTCCACAGTATTCTATTTGAAGCCAGTTTTTGTTTTTGTTTTACAACATAGCTACAGATAGGGTATTGGATCCAAACACCATGAGCTATAATCTTTTCATGAAAGATTAATTTCCCTGTGCATTTCTAGGGAGAAATCTAAGGTTCCACATCTTTGCTAAATTCAGTGATCAATAGAAATCCCTAAACAGCCCAGGAGCAGGACTTCCTGATCCCAGGAAAACATGGGCAGTAAATATACATCAAAGCCTTTCTTTTAAACAACAAAATTATTTTCCCTTTTACTGCATTATTTTTCTTTTTGTAAAAAGCTTTGTGAAGGGGAATTTTTTTTAATTTAATTTTATTTTATTTGTGAACATACTGTACAGAGGGGTTACAATTACATGGGCAGGATAATGCGTATATTTCTTACCAAGAATTGCAGCCTCCTCCTTTGTTTACCCTTCACATCACTTCC